AAATTTCTGTGACTGACCTCCAACTTCGACGGACCTTTCCACAAGCGTGTGACAATCTGGAGTCAGAATATACCCAATCATGCATTGTTCAGAGCCAGTTATTATTAATTAATTAATTAATATAACTCTGTTCAAACAATGAGCCGCCATGGTTTCAGTAGAATTTGGAACATGGAGATCAAGAAAATGATCTTCAGCCTATATATAATATGATGATGAAGAGTAGCTATATATTCCCTTTAAAATTTTTCTTTTTTCTTGAAAGCTTCATTTTGTAATATCTTATCTGTGTTTACAGAGATTTATGAGTTGTTTGGATACTCTGAGAAGCACTTTTTCACAAATCGAGATAAATTTTTTCATATATTTAACTCGCAGACTGTAAAATCACTTTTAAAAGCATGGTTTGATTTCCATCCAAACACCCTTTAAATATATTATGCACTCATTTCTTGTATAAAATCCTGTGCATTTAGTTTACTTTTGTTTTTATGTTTTTTTTTTGTGTCATTTTAAAATTAAATATTTTCAGCGACTGATGGGTGGGAATAATAAGAAATTCTTAGTGTTGTGAATTTAGGTGAACGACATGAACATATCATTGATTCATAGAGTTGAGAGGTCAAACTCAGGGAGTCAGAAGGGAGGACGCCGGCGTTGGCAAGTCTTTTCAGAAAAAGGTTGAGGGTATTCTGGTAAATGAGGGAGAGCAGGTAGAAATTTGGTATTTTCAGAAGAGAAAAATAAAAGTGAAGAAAAAGACAAAAAGAGGGGGGATTACGTGGAAGAGGGAAGCCACTAGAATCAAAGAAGCGTGTGTGGCTGCGCCAGCTGTCACTCGGTGGGATGGGTAAGTGGGGAGGGTTGGTGGTGCAGGTGTGGCCATGGCAGGCGGGAAGGCGTGAACCTCTTAATGAACCGTGTCCTCCGAGGTTTCTCTCTCTTCCCAAAACATTTTTTTTTTTAAAAAAAGTTTATTAATAAAATCACAATCGGATCCCAAGTAGAATATTCTAACCGAGAGATTAGGGCTTCTTCGCACTAGTGCTTTTGTAGGGAACTCAGTCTTTAATTAAAAAAAATATATATATACACACACTAACCAAGCAAATTATCAGTTAAGATGATAAGTAATTTTATTTTATAAGAAGAAAATATAAATTCAAATATCAGAAAGCATACTTATTGAAACGATTTTAATTTTAATATTTCCAATACGACAAAAATTAGTTTTAAGTTTAAAATAATTTGAAAATATTTTGAGTGAAGAAAAAAAAAGTCAACACCAACATGCTCCAGTGACAATACTGTCTGTTATACTCATATGAGATCCCGTTTATCATATTTGAATAAAATCTCAGGTTTACATCTGATGTTATATTTGTGGGTGTACATGTGTTTAATTAAATTAAATAAAATATGATGTGTTCTTTTTTAGAGTTTGTTTGTATCTATTTATTTTAAGTGCTTATAAATATTTTCACATAAATTGAGATTAAATTTTTATTAAATACATTATGTTCTGTAAATCATAATTAAAAAACTATGGGATTTAAATTCCTATAAATGTAAAAAATATTTTTAGAGAGTTTGTTTACAATTATGTCAACCAAACTTGATTATAACCCATAATATTGAATATGAGAGTCGCTTAATTTTTTTTTTTTGATTATATACTTAATGAAAAAAGGGAGTCTATTTTACGATGACTAGACGATTTATGATTATTACCATTATTGGAGGACAAAATTATACAATACAAGTAACATCCACTAAAACTTCAAAGTGATAATTAATTTGAAAAAAATTCCAAAGTGCTAGAGATTCAGAAGCAAAGGGAGAAGTAGTATTATAAAATATTTAAAATATTGTTTTTATTATTTTTATACATATTTTTCGCTCTCAAATTTCAAGTAGATGGTGAAGGTCTAAATCAGTAGATAACCCTTTGTATAGGGAAATCATCGTGCAAGCAATGAACAATGCCAGTGAGTGTTTTGGATGGCAATTAATTGGCTTGACTGCGGAGGTAAACATCAATGCAAGGAAAAGCAGGCCAGTAAGCAGATTTTGAATAGCTTAAGGGCAATTCCAACCCATCTATGTAGAATTGGATGATTAATTAGGGCTTTCAAACTCTTATAAGTAGCAAGGTTACAAGTTTGATCGTATCTTAGATACTTTTAATATTTTTTGATATAAAAACTAGATAATTAATTTATGAATATTAAAAAATTAGTTAAATTAATTATTTGTAATAAATAAATATTGTTCTTAGTAGAATGACCTTCTAAATAATGTGTATTAGGACTATTTCTTAATATTCTTAACATATGTAATCATCATAGAGATTACTTAAGAGAAAAATAGATAAATATTAGAGACAAAGGTGATTGGAGTCTTATATTAAAGTTCAAATTAAATCTCTAACTAAGTCTTATATTAAGGACCAATATATGTGTTTATATCATATGTGAAGGAAAAATAGATCACTGGAGAGATCTTAGTCGTTTGTGACAATTTGATTGAAAATACTTGCATTACAAGGGGAAAAAAATAATGATATTGAGGATCACAACATTCTACCATCATAAGAGCTAGAGAACTTTATCCCTTACGCGAATTGATGGAGTTTGTTCCAATTCCCCATTCTTATATATAAAACAAATTTGAGAGAAAGAATCTATTTTTTTATATTCACAATAGTTAAAAATATATTTTTTTTATACTATTGATGGAGGATACTCACAACTCATACAAAGGAAAAAAAAAAAGGGAAAATCACTAACAGGTCCCACAGAAGGCAATTTATTACTCTGAGGTCCCACGAAATGTCAAAATCACTAATAGGTCCCAAGGGACCTCAGAGTAATATTTTCGTTTTGTAAAATGACATTACTGCCCCTCATATTCCAGATTCACATTTGCTCTGTCATTACGATTTACAACTTCAGCAGCGACTATTAACAACCTAATGAGAGGGCATTAACAACCCTAGCAGTATCCGTTAACAACTTACTTTATAGAATTATATAACCTCTACATAAGAGTAAATTATAACCAAATAATATAATACAACAACTTTAACACTAAAATGGGAAGCTTTTTGATATCATTAAGAATTTTAACTAGATCCAATAGGATTATAGTAATATTTTAATGCGAATATCTATTTACAATCTCAACAGCGATTATTAACAACTGAATGAGAGGGCATTAACAACCTAAGCAATAGCCGTTAACAACTTACTTTATAGAATTATATAACCTCTGCATAAGAGTAAATTATAACCAAATAGTATAATACAACAACTTTAACACTAAAATGGGAAGCTTTTTGATATCATTAAGAATTTTAACTAAATCCAATAGGATTATAGTAATATTTTAATGCGAATATCCATTTACAATCTCAACAGCGATTATTAATAACCGAATGATAGGGCATTAACAACCTAAGCAGTAGCCGTTAACAACTTATTTTATAGAATTATATAACCTCCACGTAAGAGTAAATTATAACCAAATAGTATAATACAACAACTTTAACACTAAAATGGGAAGCTTTTTGATATTATTAAGAATTTTAACCAAACCCAATAGGATTATAGCAACATTTTAATGCGAAAATCCATTTACAACCTCAACAGTAAGTATTAATAACCTAAGGAGAATTGTTAACAACCTTAGCAGTGTCTGTTAACAACTAACTTTATTGGATAATATAACTTCTAACTATAACTAACTAAACTATAACTAAATAGTGTTAAAGTTAATCTTATATAGTTGTTAGAGGTTATATTATCCTATAAAGTCAATTGTTAATAGATACTGCCTAAATTGTCAACAGCTCTCTTTGGGTTATTAATACTCACCATTGAGTTTGTAAATGGATCTTCGCATTAAAATGTTACTATAATCCTATTGGGTTTAGTTAAAATTCTTAATGATATCAAAAAGCTTCCCATTTTAGTATTAAAGTTGTTGTATTATACTATTTGGTTATAATTTACACTTATGCGAAGGTTATATATTCTATAAAGTAAGTTGTTAACTGATACTGTTTAGGTTGTTAATGCCTTCTCATTCGGTTGTTGATAGTTACTGTTGAGGTTGTAAATGGATATTCGTATTAAAATATTACTATAATCCTATTGGATCTAGTTAAAATTCTTAATGATATCAAAAAGCTTCCTATTTTAGTGTTAAAGTTGTTGTATTATATTATTTGGTTATAATTTACTCTTATGTAGAGGTTATATAATTCTATAAAGTAAGTTGTTAACGGATACTGCTAGGGTTGTTAACGCCCTCTCATTAGGTTGTTAATAGTGCTGCTGAGGTTGTAAATCGTAATGACAGAGCAAATGTGAATCTGGAATATGAGGGGCAGTAATGTCATTTTACAAAACGAAAATATTACTCTGAGGTCCCTTGGGACCTGTCAGTGATTTTGACATTTCGTGGGACCTCAGAGTAATAAATTGCCTTCTGTGGGACCTGTTAGTGATTTTCCCAAAAAAAAAATCTAAAATGTTGAAAATGGGATCAGTCCTAAAATCAAGTTGATTCTTATTAAAATAGTGTAATTTAATTAAAATATTAAAATGTTCATATCCATCAATGAAAAAAGTTATATTTAAATAAGAAAGGATTAATTCATAAGTAAATCGAAAATTCACGTATAAATCATATATAATTCGACAAAATACACCCAAACACAACTGTGAGGACTTTTTTTTTAAACTCAAGACGATATCATTTTAAACATGATGGATTAAAGAAAATTTAAGAAATCCAACCTAATTAATCCATTCAATGCAACGGGTCATGCCGAGTTGATTATGAGTCAATTACTCTTCTGGCCCTATTTATAAACAGAAAGTAAAAATATTTTTTAGTCCTATTTATAAGGTATTGAGAGAATTTTTTTGTATAGATATACAATACCTCTCCTTTATTATTGTATTGACTTTGTTTATATGAGGTATAATGTATACTACTTCTGGTCTTAAATATAAGAGCTAATTGACTAATTTAAGTAGATTAAGAAAATAAGTTAAGTTAATTATTTGTAATAAATATGTGTTGTCTTTTCTCAATATCCTTGCTAATTAAATTTATCAGCTAGAACTACCATTATTAGAAGGACTATATTAAAAAAATGAATAAATATTAAAAGACAAAGTAGATTGATGTCTTATATTTAGAACTAAAATAAATATCAAACGAGATCTTATATGAAACACAGGAGGTAGTATTAAACAGGGATACAGTTAAAAAGTTGTTAAATTTTAAATAAGAGTTAATAAAATTTAATTTTTTGTATTTATATAAAACATGCTGAATATCTTTTATAAATAGGACCAATGGAGTAATTCTCGGCTTAGTTAATTGATCATCTTCAGTTGGGCTTCACACATTGAAACAAATCGCAACTTTCTATTTTAGGAAAATTTGTCATCAAATATTGTAAGAATTGGAACTTTGCCTGTGGGACCGTGTTGGGTGGGGAACTGGGGATGATGAGGAAATTGGTGACGGCGAAATGATTGTGGGGACGTGGTGGAGGAAGCGCGAAGAGGCATGGCGAGAGCGTAGGTGTCTCGTTTGATGCGTTTTGATGGGACGTTCTTGTCGTTTAAAGGCGACGCGTGGCATGGGTTTTGCCGTTCACGCCCACAACGCCCTCACAATTCATTTGGCTCTTCGCAACCGCTTCTTAATTATTCGTTTGTACCCGACAAAAAACGCCCCACTCTGAAAATGACAGCTTAGATTCTTTTTAACTTATTCTAGTCAATTATTTTTGTCAGAGATGACAAATAATTATCGATTTCCTTCTTTTTTTTCCTGCTCTCGGCAAGAATAACACACTCTTTCCTATTCACATTACTTAAAAAATAATTAATACTTATTTATTAATTTTATTTTTACAATCAATGCTTAAATATAACTCATTATATTTTTCTTCTCTTTCGCAATTTCATTTAATATGAATAAAATTTTAAAAAAAATTAATTCGAAACACATTTAATAAATTAATTTTATCTTTTTATATTGATGAATTAATTAAAATGACTTATATCAAGGAGCGATGAGAGTGTGTCCTAATATAATACTACCTCTACTCCTATTTATAAGAACTAGTTGATTAATTTGAAGAGATTACAAAAAAAAGTTAAGTTAGTTATTTATAATAAATAGGTGTTGTCTTTCCTAAAATATCCTTACTAATCAAGTGTATTGACTATAACTATTATATTAGAAGGGCTATATTGGAAAAAATACATAAATATGAGAAAAAAAGTGGATTGGGATCTTATATTTAGGACAAAATAAAAGTCAAATAAAGTTTTATATTAAGGACCGGAGGTAGTATAATAATTCTAATAAATAATGCTCTCTTTGACCCTCATTATAAGTTTTAAATAATTAATTTACAGATAATAAATAATCAGTTAAAATTAATTAAAAATAATAAATATATTAAACATATATTTTTATTTTTAAATATGTCTTTATAATAAATAAAAAAAATAAAAGTGAATGTGTGGAGGTAACTGAGAAAATGGACGAAAGAAATATCCTTGTAAATTCCCCTGAGAGACATACGATTGTTTTTTTTTTTTTTTTTGCCAACGAGAGACATACGATTGTTAGTACTCGCATAAAGCGAGCATTTAACCACCACTTTTTTTTCGCTAAAACATTTCATGTATTAAATGACAGTAAAGGTTGCAGTGTCATCTGAATAAAAAATATTTCACATACCATATCGGGTCCTAAATGGCACCATAAAGCGAATCTCATGTTATCAATAATACTTCTCCGGTCCTAATTATAAGACCCAATTGACTTATTTGAGGAGATTAAGGAAGTAAGTTAAGTTGGTTATTTATAATAAATAAGTGTTGTCATTCCTAAAATATCCTTGCTAATTAAGTATATTGGCTAAAACTATCATTATTAGAAGGATTATCTTGGAAAAAATGCATAAATATAAGAGATAAAATGGATTGGGGTCTTATAATTAGGACCAAATAAAAAGTCAAATTGGGTCTTATAATAAGGACCGGAGGAGTATGGTAGTTAATATAATAAGCGGTTGCATTCTAATAAGAAAAACACTTCTGACCTAACAGAAATTAGTTTTAAATTTAAAATGACTTAAAAGTATTCTGAGTTTACATACAAAAAAAACCATATAAATGATCAACATTAATTTTTTGTCAGCTAGGGTGATATTCCTCATTTTTGAATTTTTTCGGATGACATTGAATCTAAAAAACCTTTAAGATACCTGCAATTTTTTTTGGCAAATATTCTAGAATAAAAATTATCTTTAAGCCAATATCAAATAAATATGTCCACAAGAAAATTTTAAGAGGATCTATTAATACAACACAATTATTTAATTAAAATTTTTGGCAAAAAATTATTTAATTAAAATGATTAAATTAATTATTACTTAATGTGTATTGGCATTTGATTTGATTTTTATTGTTTAACTAAGCTTGTGTCTGGAATCAGCAAATAAACAAATTCTGAAAAAGCGAGCATCTCGAGCTTATTTAGTTAATTTAATTAGTGATGAAAAAAACAATTTTTAAATTATGGGAAGCGAGGCACTCGTGCTTATTTAATTAATTTAGTTGATTAAATACTATTATTTTATTATTAATAAATATAATTAAGTGGACTGGTGGGAAGCAAAAATTGACAAGGAATAACACAGTTTGGCTACTCCCAAACGGCATAGACTCACACCATAGCTTATTTGCGAATTGGTATACGTACCTCTAAAATAATAAATAATAAATATATTATATATTATTATATTTTAATTCATATAAATCTCGTTGTTCATCTTAAAAATTATTAATTAATCAATTCTCAAGCACGATCGCCAGCAATAATAATAATATATACTGAACATGCGTTTGTGTGGCAAAATATAATTACTAAAAAAAATTAAATATACGATATTAAAGAAAAAAGTGATAATCATCAAAGAAAGTAGAAATGAGGGAAGTGATTCTTTTTTAACAAAACGTATTAACAAATAATTAAAACAAGTAGTAGTACAATGCATGTAGTCTTTTGCCATATAATACCTCCGGTCCTAATTATAAGAGCTAGTTGACTAATTTAAGGAGATTAAAAAAATAAGTTAAGTTAGTTATTTATAATAAATAGGTATTGTATTTTTTAAAATATCCTTGCCAATCAAGTGTATTGGTTAGAATTACTATTGCTAGAAAGACTACCTTAGGAAAAATACATAAATATGAGAGACAAAGTGGATTGGGTTCTTATATTTAGAACCAAAATAAAAATCAAATAAGGTCTTACATTAAGAACCGGAGGTAATAATTTGGTGTACTATATTTTTTTTGTCCAATTTTAATTGACTAAATTTTTAAATTTTTTGATGCAATTCATAATATGCCCACATCACTTTACATTTGAGATTAATTTCTTTTGGGTCAGAAACATTAAGATTAAAGCTCTTCCAATAAGTATACTTCCTAAGATTTATACTTATTTTTAGGTCTTATGAGAATTAGCAAAAAAAAGCATAATGGAATGATAAATTTGAATAATGTGATTTATATTTTCTTTAGAAAAAAAACATTATCTTATGATTAATATAATTTATTTCATTTATTTCTCATATAGTCATATTTCATACACTACACAGGAAAAATGTGTCTATATATAGTTATACTATATTCGTCAAAGATTTGTTGAAGATCGGTACGAATTTCTAAAGATGAGAACTATATCTGAACTTTCCATCATTTTATGAGTTTTAAGAATAATTAATTTGTTATTGTTAAGTAGAAGATATCCACGAGATTAAATTCTTAATATAATGTTCATCTTAATCCTAAAGATTATGTTTAACTGATAAACTCAACTAAAAAGCATTCTCTATGAACAATGCCTTTAATCAAACGTAAAGGATTTTATATAGAAGGTTTCATGCACGTTGCTTCAATCTTTTTTCACTTTAATTTGCCTCCCAATAATTGGCAAAAAAATTCAAATTAAATATTATTAATGAATAGAATAATATTTATAAATCCATATATGTATGAATTATCAAACTTTGAACGTAACTAATTATTTGGAGATGAATAAATATATAGTTCACATGGGATATACATATCTCAAGGCTTAATTGAGATTATTATGCAAGCACGACGATTTCACTATCTTAATTATCAAATTAAATTAAAGTTGTTATAATCATACATCTATGCATTGAAGGAAAAAAAAAAAAGCGAATATATGAGCGTGAACTCTATTTGTTATTTTCTTAATTCATCTTTTGCTTTTTATCTCTCTTGTGTCATATGGCATATAAATAAATTTATAAGGATAAAAGATTTATCAAATGTTCATCATGTTCATCCACTCATTTCGTTTAATTAATTAATTAATTAAGTTGCCTTAATATCTCAAACAAACGTGATGATGTCTAGCAAGTGCGGGCAGGCTCCATTTGAAAACGAAAAATATTAAATTATTACTTTAGTGCTAGTGCTCCACTTTTCCATTATTATTATTTTAATATTCAATAATGACGATGATGAACGAATATAATAGGGAAAATTACACTCAGATCCCACAGAGCACAATTAATATCAAAAAGGTCCCATGAAATCACAAAATGATTCTGAAGTCCTCAGGGACCTGTGTGTAATTAATTCTAATTGTGAAATTACCTATTTACTCCTGTTAATTTTATTGCAACAATTCGTTTACAATCTCAACAATGGCTGTTAACAACCCGAGAAGACGTGATTGACAACCTCGGCAGTGCTCATGACAACTCACTCTGTGGAATGCCAGGGGCATTATTGAGGTTGTTAACCACCTCTTCTCGGGTTGTTAACAGCCACTGTTGATGTTGTAAATAGGTTCTAATTTTATTGCAGCAATTCGTTTACAATCTCAACAGTGGCTGTTAACAACTCGAGAAGACGTGATTAACAACCTCGGCAGTGCTCATGATAACTCACTCTGTGAAATACCAGGGGCGTTGTTGAGGTTGATAACCACCTCTTCTCGGGTTGTTAACAGTTACTGTTGAGGTTGTAAATAGGTTCAAATTAACAGGGGTAACTACGTAATTTCACAATTAGAATTAATTACACACAGGTCCCTGGGGACTTCAGAATCATTTTGCGATTTTGAGGGACCTTTTTTATATTAATTATGCTCTGTGGGACCTGAGTGTAATTTTCCCAATATAATATCAAAGAACGTCTAAAGATGATGTGAAAATTGAAAGGACATAAAATAATATTAAAGTTTTATAGTTTTACAATTAAATATTAGTAATTTAAAAAAAGGCATTTGTCTTATATAGATATTCTAATTTGTTAATGATCTTCAAATTATTTGAATATTTACTTGCATCTCATAAGAGCTTAATAATCTATTTACAAAAATTAAAGAAATTAAGTAAGTTTATTATTTGTTTAAAATATGTAAGTTTTTCTTAAATACTCTCTATTATTATTTGCCTTTGAACTATCTTTTGATAAAACTTCCATGTGAATGATTAAGATAAAAATTGTAAATTTAACAAGCAAAGAGTTGATGTAGCGGTGTAAGATCCCGTTAGATTCTTTTGGCTCTCAAATTTGAATTCTAAAGAAGACATCTTTACGGGGAGAGAAAGTCATAAATCCTGAATTAGATTAGCCAGATGATAATATCTAAAAATTATAAATTTAAAAAATAAACTGGATTAAGATAATATATTTAGAACCAAAATTAAACTTTTTATTAAGTAAATTCTATGTTTAAGACAAGAGAGAATTTAAGATCTTATATGTTGTGAGAGCTATATACATATGAAAATAGCAGACTTTTTTAAAAAGAAAAAGAAAAATCAAAATCTACAATCAAAACAAGGTGGAGTCTAAACGCAAGACTAATATTTCCACACAACAAAGTCTAAAAAACATACGCATGGAAACATTAGGTTGAAAAAAAAAGTTGATTGTTCTTGAAACTAAATCTTCATCAGTAACTTTTTCCAAAAAATACAAATTTTTTAATAACATCTCTATCCACTTCAATATAACTTTACGACTTTTTACAGTGACACAACGAAAAGGATAAGCCATAAACTTTGGTCTATAAGGTGACTTCAGCCTTATCATCGATCATATATTTGTATATATGGCATTATTATCGGTATCTTATTGCATATATTTAGAAAATTAATTCAATTAAATTAACGTACCTTAACCTTATCCTCATATATAAACTAGTCTCACTAATTGTCGATATTCACACACACACACACACACACACACACACACACGACAATCCCAAAAAAAAAACATAAAATGATCTTTATGTAATGAGATTGACTAATATAAAATCTTTAACACCTTACGGTTGTAATGTCAAAATCAGTCGAATTGACTATAAGAAAATCTCACTTATATTTATAATATCTCATCGTGGGAGCTTTATATATATATATATATATATATATATATATGATAATATTTTTAATATTGCACGTAAAAGTATAGTTTCTTAATTAATTCGCTTTCGAATATTGTGATATTTAATGCTCTCTTATTTAATCTCAAATGATTAGTCTAGGTGGTACGTACTCATTGCTTTGTTTAAACTTTAAATCAAAGAGAAACTTTAAAAGTAGAAAATTAATTAAAGAGTTTTTTTTGCCAACAGCCATTTGATTAATTATAATAAAATTTTAATACTAAGATAATTGAGATAACTAATTAATGATGGTTTTGCTCAAGTGAAAAGCTCAATCAGCTGAGAACAATTCAAACTTTATGGATTGTTAAAAAAAATCATATTGAGAGAGCTATGTTAAATTAGGTTTAAGTTTACAAATATACTTGAATATGATACTCCTCCGGTTCTAAATATATGATCTGCTTTATAATATAAATTATACTATAAAGTAGGCCATATTTAGGTCTGGATGAGTATAATAATATTGAATACCAAATGATTGATGGATAGACGTGAGTGTTGGTTTGATGCAGTGGAAATATATGAAAGCTAATGAAAATAACGAATAACGTTTAGAGATAATAAATTAACATATACCTAATTCAATGGCTAAATGCTTCTTCTTGTTTTTGTTGTTGTTGCATGTTTTCAAATAATAATGTAAAAGGATATCAATTTTGGAGGTCATAAATATTGACATTGTTGATTAATAAAATATTTATAACAATATATCAGTTCTTATCTTGCTAGTGCTAGCTGTCATTATTTTGTTATTATTGTCAGGATCACTATTGTTCCCAATGTTATATATTCATCTTCTTGATTTTCTATAGAAATTATAAAATATATCCTTTTTAAAAAAACAAAATATCTTTATCCATCATTGTCAAATGTAAAATATACATAAAATCACATTATTTATAAATAATAATTTACAGAAGTGATAATTTCCCCCTTATATTTCATGCATAAAAGCATGTTTATTTTTTTCCTTAACAATTGGGTGTTTGGTACTTCTAAATATTATCACTTTTGCGGTTTATCAAATAATTTTTTTTCCCATATCAACACCATAGGAAACCCTTTTAACATTGGTCACAGAACACTTTTAACACTGGTTGTTTGAAGGGAGACATGTTAACCTAGCGGCATAATTTTGTAAATATTTAACATTGATAAAAAAGCGACGTAGAAAAATACTTTTTTATGTCGCTACATATCAAACATAGGTACCATTTTTATTAATATGTTATTTATTTTCATATTAAACCATCTTGCAATTAACCAATATATACAGCCAGTAGCAACAATATCCAATAAACACAATATCCTTAAGTATTGTTAAGTTCCTCGTGCCTTGAGTTCAAGATTTTATTTTTCACATGCATGGTTATTTGACTGGCTAGATTTGAGCAATGTTAACCCTAATCGGGGATAGCTCTTCCAACAACAAAAAAAAAAATTATGCTCACACGAACTTAAACTTGAGATTTTGTATTTGAGCGATCAAAGGTTCTTCTATTGTAATCAATGCCTATTGGTGGAGTTTGAGATTCTACTTAAAGGGTGTCAAGTTCTTTTTTATTTGGCCTAATTTTAATTGCCGATATTATTTGTAATTTATTATAATTTGTTATACAATTGTTATTTATTATGATCACTAACATGAAATAAGTTGACAAGTCATTGGAAAAAATTGACAAGTTATGGAAAGAATATCTCCTCGGATTACTTTACTAGATTCGGTAATCTTAATTTGATCAAATATATAATATTGTTTAGCTGGTGTCCATTACATTGTATGATATTATGTTCTTTGGCAAATGGGACCTATTAGGCACTAAACTTAAAAAATAAATATATAAGGTGACATTATTTTCATTTCAATCGCACTCAATGTCCCTATTGTGCTTAAAGTAATTTAAGATTGGTAACGTGGTTTAAAATCATGGCTAGAACTATAGCTATACTCTTATTTAGTGATGAGTCAAAATGATTAATACTTTTGATTAAGACTTACTCTGCTCTCCTAGCCGTGAATATTCAAAATATTTATTTAATTAATGATGTTCTAGAGATTTGTTTTTTTTAAAGTATATGTACTTAATTTTTCTTAATATAATAATGAACTAAACTAATAAAATACAGTCAAGTGTAGTTTTGCAATTGTACGTCCTTTTCAAAAAGAAAAGATGAAGACATAATTCGTTTTTTAAGTGAGAATTCAAACATCAAATTGAGCAGTAAATTAAAGGACAGCTAACTAGTTTTTGAGTGTTTTGTATGGTAATTAGGAGTATATGTCAAGCTATATATGTGACAAAAATATGGGACTCGAATAGTTTCTTTAAGTTGTTATTGAATTAATTTTTCGATTTCTTAAAAAACGATTGTACATTATTATTATTTGAACAAAGTTTTTGAAAACACTCTGATAAAGGTTGGTGTTTGGAAGCAGCAGGATTCACTATTGAGTACCTTGATCATATATACATATAGCAAATAGTATTATTCAGAGGCTAAACCAATATGGATTTTTAATTAAAAATATAGTGTTGTTCTTTTCTCATGATTTATCTAATTTTAATATGAATACGTTACATGATAGTTTAATTTCTTTACAAACTGATAGACTAAATTTTCATTTAAAAAATTTAGTGATGTCAGGCTGATAATTATTTCAAAAGAGATAGCCAGTATTGATGATAGAGAATTGGAAGATATTTAAGAATGGCTTTTGGATGAAGATTTGATTATGTAGACCTGATAGGCTGATATCATTCAGCTTATTCTTTCACGTTATTAGATATTTTATATTTTTACAACAATTTAAGTGTCTATAGCAATAAGATAATATATTTAAACTTTTTCCCCAACAATTTAAAACAGGACTCACTTGTGAACTCAGACAAATGATATTCTTACTAACCCTGCTAAACATATCCATTTTAATTTTTTTAAAAAAATCAAATTTTATGATCATATTATTAACATCTCATCTCTTTCTTTATTTAGGATCTTAAAAGGGAGAAAGATATATCAACCACTGAAATATGAGAATCCCAAAATGATCCCTCAAATGGTTTAATTTCTATGAATTTTTAAGAATTGTTTTGGAATTAAGTTTTTTTTTAAATGACGTGATTGCCTTTAGTGAAATAATCGTTACTGCCTTTGTTGTCGTCATTTGAAAAATTAAAATTGCTACTGGTTAAAGTAATTTTTGTGAAATTAGTTGTCATTACTTTAATTTTTGTTGTCATTTGGTAATTGATAATTGATAATTAAAGTTGCTACTTATTAAATGGTTGTTGTCATTCCAGTTTTATATTTTTCAGTTCAAATTAAAAGCATTTAGGTAATTTTGTTACAAAATTAATCTTAGACGAATTCCTAAGGACTTCACAGTGATTAGGTTATTTCGATCGAGATCCTAAATTATATTGATGTAGAGTTGAGGATATTTTTGTGTCTTTCAACCATTTACAAATTAAGAGGTGAGTGATAATATACACTTAAGAAACAGATAATTAATACTACATACAATTTTTAATATAAAATTTACTTAATTAATTTAGATAGATTAAGAAAAGTACTCTAGCTTATTATTTGTTAAAAATATGTGTTAGTTTTTCTAAAATATCCTCTTAAATTATTTGGATTGAAACTACCCTTCAATAACACGTAATCAATGGGTTAGTTCGGATAAATAAGAAGAACAAAATGAATTTTATATTTAGAATTGAATTTAAATTTGTTTGCTATTTGTTTGCTAACTTTTATATTAAGAACTGGAGCCGGTATACACACACTATCAACCATGATGGAGGGGACACGCTATTCCATACGCACGAGTTTTTCTCAAAGAGATAAGATACAACAAATTTTCACATTATTATTGTCTTTTAAACCTTGATACAAAATATCATGAGTCAAGTGAAAATAAATGTAAAAGTGCAATGAAATCCAAAAAGTCAGATAAAGCATGCTGCGCATGGAAAATTAGTATGGTCAGAATTTTCATCATGAGAATTATGGAAGCGGGTATGTATGATCAAACAAATAAGAGCGTGACACACTCAAATAGGGATATGCACCCGGGGGGGGGGCGTGGGGATTAGGTTAGGGCATCATGCAGCCGTCAAATGAGAGCAAATCTGGCTCATATATAGTGTTAATGGATTGTGAGCTTAATATGATAATTTATAAATTTTTTTTTAAGGTTAAGATGCAAATTTCTTCTGAATATTCAAGAGTGTTGGGTATTTGAAATTTTTGTCAGTGCAAACTCATCCCGTAAGTTTAAAATTATGACAATATTATCTCTTACTGTTAAAAATATTAATGGTCAACATCATTATTTTAACAATACATTAGTATTATTAACTGTAGGGGGAATATTGATATGATTTTAAACTTTCAGGATAATATAATATAGCAACCAAGAAAACTTTCAGCGATTCAGTACTTTTGAGTGAAATTTTTTGGGACAAATTTATACCTCAACCTCCTTTTTACAAAAAAAAAAAAAAAATTCCTATTGAATGTTAGGGGTTTTTGGGTACACAAAGGATAGTGTAGAAAAATCAACATATCTTTATTACAAATAATCAACAGAACTAATAATTTTTTTTAAATATCTCTGAAATAGTTATTTTACTCTTATATTAATAATTAAGGAGAGGAAGTAGTACATATGATCTTGGGTTTTTAATATAAGAGCTAGTTATGTTAAATTTCACCCTAAATATAAAATAACCAATGTGTCCATGTGAATTCAGTTAGTTATTCTCAATTAAGTCCCAAAATACTTAAATATAATCTCTTATACTGTAATGCTGGATATCAGATATCTCTCTCTGTGTATTTTCCCTAATGAGTACTTAATAGAAAGAACATGTGGACATGGGAAACTTTGGTTGAATAAGAGATGCTTTTCAAGACAACGGATCAATCAAATAACGTAAAGTACTCTTGATTTTTTTTTTTTTCCTCCTTTGATTAAGACCCTGATAAAGTCATTTCCTATACACGTTATTTCTCAGGGTTTCCAATGCTAATTTAAAATAATCATCCACTTCTAAATTTAGGAGCTAGTTGGCACATTGGTTTCATTTCTAAGAGGGTGTTTGGATTTGTTTAAAAGTGTTTCCTAAACGGACTTTTCTGCAAATCGAGACAAAATCATCTATATATTTACTTCGTATATGTAAAATTACTTTTGAAATTATAGATTTGTTTCCATCTAAACACCTCCTAAATATAAGGCCTTTTTTTTAAATATAAACTAGATGTCAATGCTTACAACTCAATAAGATTAACTAGACAACTTTCATTTCCTTCATCATTCTCTACCTCTTGGCTGTGAGGCGGTGATTGATCAAAGAAACACCAGTTGGCATCTAACCTATTGGCTAACCTATCAACAAGACTAATCTCCCCTCTATTAGTATGATACATAGGACGTAACCTGCCAGTCTCTCAGAATCAAGACTTTAATATACTTTATCTTTTATATTTATCATTTTTACCAAATTAACTTATCTAACTTATTATAAACTAACATATAATCTAATGTTGCACATATACGTTTTAGAAAGATCAGGATACATTTGTTAAAAGTACAAATTTATTTAGCTTTCTTTAATCTACTCAAATTAATTAAATAGCTCTCATATAAAAAGGCTGTTATTCTTTTAAATGAGGGCTGCCCGCATAATCTAGAACTTTAGAAATAATTACAAAATTTTCATAGATAAAAATCTTATTCCAAAACCTACTACAAATAATAACTTCTTAAAATAATCAGAAATCTACTGTTTCTTTTTTTAAAACAGTTTGGTTATTTTTAAATATCACACAAATGAGGCCCATAGCCGGCTCTGATGTCTTCATCATTGTTATTAGGAAAAATGACATTCAAAGATCTTTTAAGAATGTTAGTCACCGTAAGAAATCTTGAAATTTTGAAATAAATAAAAATATCCTTGGCTGGAATTAAAATCTTGCTGAGTTAATTCTTATCCGCACTCATCTTTCACACTTTTAGTACACATCTTTCATATTTTCAGTATTTAATTTTTCAATTTTTTCAAGTGTAATATTTTTTTCTACAGTTGAAAATGCCAAACATGAATTCTGAAAGTATGTAAGATGAACACTGAAGAGATGAAACGTGGTTGTTAAACTTAACTTGAAAAATTTTAATTCCATACAAAAACCATGCTGTCCTTTTCAATTAATATCGTCAGAGGTTCTTAATTAAACGTCATTTCTCATTGTTATTATTCTTATTATTCATTAATAATTTTTTTGAGAGTGTTATTTTCTTAAATTGGCATGAGTTTGTGTATTATCATTATCAACTCGATAAATCACTTCGATTTGCTCGATGACCATTTGATTTTATAAGCTTTTGTTAAATGTGAATCACAACTTCATAGATATTATGTCTATTTCTTCATATCAGATATTTATTTGTCTGATTGCTTGTCCAAGAGCAGCCATCACAGTAATTGAAAACGATATCAGATAAGAATGTGACTTAAATTATATTATATGAACCCATAATTAGTTAATAACCATAGTCCATATATAAGTAAAATTATATTAAGTTTGAATTTTACTCAAATAGAGAAAATAATGAACAAAAAAGAAATTCTCCAGACTGAATCGTTGCATAATGGATCCATGTAGCTTGAAAACCATATGGGGAGTTTTTGTGCCATCCTTTGTCTGGTGAAAAGAACTCATACGCTTATCTTACTTGTGAAGAGTTCAACATACAACCTCATATTTAAGCAATACTTAATAAGGTGCTAAGTGTCATTTGAGGCGAACGGCTCCGGCTTGACATGTTATTTTGTATTACAAAAATCAATAGTAATATATAAATATGATTATGTAAATAAAGAAAATATTAGTGCAGCACGAGAGATAAGAATTGAGATTGTGAGAATGTGGAAAATAATTCAGTTCTAAATTTTCTTTTATATATATATGGCTATCTTGTATTTAGTAAATATATTTACACAAACCAATTGTAAGCATATTGTTTCAGTAGTTATAATCTCGTTCTTTCACTAAGATCAATACTTGTTGATTCGATTCTTAGCTTCCATAAAAGTAACGTCATTTTAATGTATTGGAAGTTACAAGTCATATGCACATGAATTTTTCTTAAACAGGAAATAACATTATTAATTAATTAATTAATTAGTAGATGGTTTAAAAAAATCCATATTCATATTATTCTTTAATTTCAACTTGAAAACAAACTTTACGTACCAGTTAAGTTTAAAAAAAAAAAAAGTTAAGTGCATTCAGATCCGCATTCATAGGTCAAAAATCAAATAAATCTTCAGATTAAAGGAAATATAGTCAAATTTTCATGATGACAAATAATAGAGAGAAGATAAGCATATAAATAGAACCAAACATA